ATTCCACATCTTCACATGCAGTCTTCTCCAAATAATCTCTTGCAATGTGCTTTTTCTCATTAGTAATGTAATCTGGCAATTGCAGCCACCTCCATTCTATCTACCAAAGGTTAGGTATCATTTCCACTACATTTGCAGTACAAAGAAAGAGAACTCGCAGTGAGTTTTTGGAATGCATGAGTCCATTATGGTCAAAACATTTGGCAATATGCCCAAATTCTCATCATCAGTAATACCTGAATCCCTTTTAATATCAATAAATAGACAAGTAAAACCACGCGCAAATGTTGAATCTTCTATAACCTCAATACTCACGCTCCAAATCATCACATACTAACCTTTGATAGATCAACCAGAACATTAAGATAGTGATGTAGAAAATTTATCATTTTCTCTGGGTCCAGAAGCTCTAACAGTGTACTTCCGTATCACCAGCATGTCCCCGACGGCCCAACGGCCATTGAGTAAGACAATTAAAATACCAAAACCTTCTTGCTGTTAGACGTAAATAATATGACACAAAATGAATCTTTAACAACACGCTCCAAACAATTTTAAATAAGGGAATGAAAAGAAATCAGGCTAAACTACAACTTTAGTCCAAGTAAACCACAGTCTTAGTACTTTTACACATTATAAAACTTTATCAAATTTGAACCAGAAATTAGCATCGCATGGTTGAACCTAGGGTTCAAAACCAAGACCTCAATTTTCTCCTTTGTGGCTGCCACTGTCTTTGTCAGAATTGCAAAGCTACAGCTGAGCGAAGCCAGAAATTGCATGGGTGCAAGACAGTTGAGAGAGGGATGGGATTTGGTTAAAGGCATTTAAGTCTTTTGCTCATTTCATCTATTGACGCCCCAAGATCAAGTCCTTCTTCGAATTCCAAGTCCTTATAGGCTAATAAATTTGTAGTCAAATCTTTTTGAGAATTTTCCCAATTTTTTATGCTACAAAGTATTTTTAAAAATTCAAAACGATAATTATAATTTTTTTTTTCCATTTATCCCTCTTCACTTCTACTATTTTAAATGGTCAAATTTGATAATTTGATTCATAAATTTATGTATTCATTGTATTTTGTAATTTGAGTTTAATAATTTTAAAAGATATTGTATTATAAACTGGATGGAGTATGATTTTCTTTTTGGGGATAGCCAACAATCTTATTATAATTGACAATGAATATTTAAATATTCATTGGGAATGCATATTTAATTGTTCTATGTCTTCACTCCATTGCAAGAGGGATCTATAGGGAAGAAAAAGTAATGGGATTCAGTATCTTCCTTATTCATCCATTCCAAAACATCACATGCACTCTATTTTACTTCCTCAAGAGATCTGTGAAGACATTGAAAAGCTAAGCAGGAATTCCTACACGGAAACAAAAGAAAGCTGCAACTTGATAATGTAGCATTTCTACGAAGCTGTGTTGAGGACAAAAGCTTGATGCAAATATATATTATTAGTATTTTCTACTTGAAAACAAAAATAACTCAATTCACATTCATAAATTATTACAGTATGCATCCCACCCACGCAACTTGACTTCTCTGTCAACCAATCGTACCGTGAATTGAGATAAATACGGCAGCCATCCATCTCATCAAGTTAATTTATTACTGCATCTACCCTTTCCTTGATTAAAATATTTTTAAATATATTTTTTGATAAATTTTTTAATAAATATATTTAATCTTCTTTTTGATAAAAAAAATATATTTAATCTTACTGACACATATTCCTACTGAAGCAAGAAATAATTTATTATGTAAGCCACAAGAGGCCCACAATCAAACGAAAAAGCGAGCCAAACAATACCAGCCCTAAAAAAGAAACCCAAACCCAATCAAAAAACGACACATCCAAAAGAAAAACGACAGCACCACCATCACAAGCCCAAACCCAAAACAAAAGATAGAAGGCCCAATTCATGCATGAATAAAGGAATCTCAATTAGGGTGATTTTGGGATTCGATTTCTGTTTTATAATTTGCCTCCCCTTCTAGAAATGAGTTTGTGCCTTTTAATTTCGCTGGATCGAATGCATTGTTTCTTCACAATTTCTCATAGAAATTCTGAGATAGAGTACACTTCATCATTCATGATCTTTCTAATAAAAATATGACATTCATATGATATTAAATATAAATTGGTTAATGATTGTAAAAAGAAAAGAAACAAGAAATTAAATAGGCATTCTGTTATAAAAATAAAATTATTAAAAATAATAACACATAAAATTTTTATGCAATTAAAAATAATATAGTGTACTGAATTTATCCAAAATTTCTCCAATTCCTCATTGACCCATAACTTGTAGGCCCAGTTTGAGAACAATGAGGATAAGAAAGTTCTTTTTCATAAGCATCAGGGTGTTTTTTCAATTGCCGGTTAAAAAAAAAAAACACGGAGAATATGTTTTTTCAACAAAGCCAATTTGCCATCTAACAAACACAGAAAAATATTTTTCCTTTCTTTAAATACGTTTCCATATACCAGAAGTGCCATCACAATTTTTGTCATCAGACACTTTTTTACGACTTCATTGTAAAATGGTTTATCATTTTCTGTTGGATAGGGCAAACTCTTTTATTTCGTGAAAATGAATTTTACTAATTAATTTGGACAGAATTATATTTTATAGATTAAAACCAGAACATAAAGTCCAACATCTTGAATGTATTCAATATCATTAATGTCAACATATTTATAATATGGTATGAAATCCTATCGTTTACAAGTCATAAATATTTAGTTATCTCAAATTTCGCATAAATGAATGAGACCTAGATTAAATAGAATTTGTCAAACATACTCCCTCAGTTTCATATATAAGCGAAAATAATCATTTTATACAGTTTAAGAAAGTTAGCCATTCCTCTTAATTATTTATAAGATTGATCTTTTCCCAAAAATGCCCCTGTTGTAATGTTTAAACTTTTTTTTTCCCCACAAACAACGTTTAGGTAAATTTAATACCAGAGGCTGATCATGCCCAAGCATGTCTCCAAGCTCAATTATCATCAAAATCAACGAGTCTTCGTTTTAATTTTTATTTTATAATTTTTATAAAGTATTTTCGTGAGACGATACATAAAAAATAGTAGAAAAGAATCCATATCCATTGTTTACATGGTATTATAATTTATCATACCAAATGCTCAAAGCTCTCTTAGCCTGGTGGATTCGAAACGGTTGTGATTAATCTTAAATACTCCCTCCAATCTCGTATACAAGTCCCTTCTAGAAAGAATTCATGATTCGTTTTATACATTATTTTGTATTAAAAAGTGGATTATTAATGAATTTCTTTCAATTCTACCCTTTTACAATTTTTAAAAAGTAAAAAGTAAAAATTAGCACATGATAGAAAAACTGTTTTAAAAGATTACGTATTTATTGAAGATAAGTTGAGAAATTTATTTCTTTTTTAGATAATATCAACAATCTAACTACGCGCTCTTCGTTTTGGCAAAGTAAGCGACATATAAAAATGAGACGAGGGAGTAACACTTTTTCTGATCTTCTGTGCGAAAGGGATTGAAAACCACAGATGGGAAATGAAACCATGCTTAATTGACTTTTATCACCTGACCTGAACAACAACATTTAAACATTCTCATTCCTTGTTCTCAAAGACCGTTACTTCCAATAAACCTGCCCCATTTCTTTTTCCAGAGCAGCACGTTGAGGACCATCAATACTATTTTTATTGTGAATTTAAAAATGAACAATTGATTGTTAAATGTGCGTGTGCGTGGCCCCGGGGGGGGGGTCTTTGTGAGCGACACCTGCTTTTCCCACAGCTGTGCTTGCATCTTCCCCAACATAATATGATCCATTCCTCTCTTTGTCCTCCTTTCTATCTAACATCTTCTAACTTATGGGGTCGTAAATGCTTGTTGGTACAAACCGGTAAGAATTTCCAAAAAAAAAAAAAAAACACACACACACACACACACATTTGTTTCATCACAAAGTCATTTCAAACCCCACTTGATAGGAATGGTATATGAAAACAAATTAAGTACTAATTGCAATTTAGTAGAATTAGTTAAAAGTTAGATGAATTAGTACGTGTTTAGTTTCACATTGAAAAACACTGAAATCATGATTTAATGAAAATAGGTTACTGGTTATTTGCTTCCGCCAAAACTATGTTTTGATAAAATTTTCAACGTAAAATTAAACATGCTTCTACTTTTTGCCTCTACAAAATCTTGATTTTAGTAGTTTTTAACATAAAAAGAACATGTTTTAAATTTTTAAACATGGATTTAGGTCTAAAGCATTGATTTTTCCCCCATTTTGGAGATCACAAAGAAGCAATCTGTTCAGCTCCACATGATAGATATGACATATATTTATGGAAGCAAAGTTTGATAAGACTAAATTGTCATGGATAAGTTCGCTCAATGTATCCGAAAGTCTTTATTTATTAACTTAAATACAATGGTTGAAATTTTATTACATGTTTGAAAAATTGAAACATCCATCGAGTTGGCTTGCTGGCACTTGTCCTCTTGTAAGCCAGTCGTATCCTTTTGTACGTACGTGTCCATTTGTCTTGTTGCCATCTTGAAATAAATGAACACAAAAAGGTGAAAAGAGAGGATGATAAAGCCACAACATTTTAATGCTGGACTAGGCCAACCCAGAGCAGAGGAATGGTCCAGGGTGATGATTCGTAGACCCAGAAGACTCAGCAACCACTTCACAGGGTCTTCCCTCTTGCTGCCAAGTGCCAGCACATCAGAAATGGCCTTGTCCTTGTATGTTTGAAACTTTACGTGACATTTTGGTACACAAATTGAAACCCCGCAATACAAACACCAAGCGTTTTGCGTGGTGGATTAATCAAAGTTTGTACTTTGTTTACCTGGACAACTGTTCCTGACTTATTGGGTTAAGAGTATCCAAGGATGATGATATATAACGGAGCTTCCAAGCAACTTAAAGATATGAAACTGCTTTTGGGTGAGAGATTATATCAGTTAACGATCAAGTCAATGCAAAATTTTTACTGTAATTGGAAATACAGAAGAAATATCTAGACGAGTTACGTTAAAAAGAACATGAATCAGCTTTCTAAGTATGAAACTCTCTGTAAATCAACCTACAAGAGTAAGTATCATCTGTACAAGATATTATTTTGGCACTATGCAAGTCTCATGTATCAAGATACTTGCAGTTCCTGAGATTGTAGGGACTTTGTGGGCGATGATGATGATGCAGTGGCTAGTCCTTGAAGTAACTTGATGACTTCAACAGTGTCGTCCAGATAACATTTTGCCATACTTGGCTTCTGACCCACAGTGCAGGCATAGACATGTGCTATGCTTGGTAGGCTTGGATCAGAGGTTGAACGAGCAACGCTCTCAAACATATCTTCATCTGACCTATCGTCTCCTATGCACAAAAGAAAATCTGGCGCCTTTCCCTTACTCAGCATCGTTGAGATTAGATTTTCCACTACTATGCCTTTGCTCACACCCTGAAAATCCCAGAAAAGATCAACACATTAAGACATAGAACTCAACACTGCTAAATCCCCTTTTTGTATGTTCTTATGTTGTCTCCAACATATGCACAATACTTGTATGTTCTTTTTTTCATACCTGAGGTTTCACTTCAACGATGTGCTGTCCTCTTTTGACAACTACTGGTTCATTGGCAAGCACGCTCTCGAGGTGATCAAGAAGCTCTTTTGCTTGGCAGGATCCGAAATGAGGGTCGGCTTCTTGGTGGTGCCAAACCAAAGCACTCTCCTTTGGTTCAATGAAAGAACCGTCTGTTGCTTCTGTATAATGAGCCATCACCGGTTCTACAGCTTTTTTCCATTCGAAATCCATTCCTAATCCACATGTCTCCCACGGGCTATCACAACTCCACCTGATTGACCATGATAAATAAGTGAATAAAAATTTAGAATCATTGAGAAATGAACGCACGTTAAAGGATAGTGTAATGTGTATATGTTTCAAGTACCTGGTAAAGAAGCCATGTTCTGCTGAGAGGCCCAGCTTCTCGCACGGAGAGAACCACTTGCTGAGGCAATTCTTGTCTCTGCCACTGACAATGAACACCGCGTTTCTAGGGTCACTGCATAAGCGATTCAACACAGAAATAACTTCTTCGCTTGGGGTTTTGTCAACAGATACCCCGGGCATCATAGTACCATCGTAGTCTAAAAGGATCAACCTGCTGTGTGTGTTTCTATAAGCAGACATGATGCTTTCCGCTGAAAGCTTCCTGAATGTAGGATCGAGAGCTACGATTCTAAACCCCAAGCCAAAACCAACACCCCAACACCTCTTACGGTAATGCTCTCTACAAGCCCTCTCTAAGTCCTGATCGAAACTCCTAGCCCAATAGGCTACATCATGTGAGCTTATGTACTTGTAATGCTTCTCGTGACGCAACTGTTTCTCTGCCTCTGACATCGTAATCGCCGAGTTCATTGCCTCTGCGACGTCTTCGATGTTCCACGGGTTCACTCTGATTGCTCCGCTCAGCGACGGAGAACAACCGATGAATTCAGACACTATGATGACGCTTCGTTTAGGACTCGTCGAATCATTTGCATCGATCCCCTGTCTACAAACAGTGTACTTATAAGGCACTAAATTCATACCATCTCTCACAGCATTCACAACGCAGCATTCAGAAATGGCGTAGTAGGAGGCTTTCTCCTGCGTCGAAACAGGGCCGTTAATGAACACAACTGGCTGGTACCCAGGTTCGCCGTATTTCTCGTTGATCTCATTCGCGATAGAATTTGTTTCGTTTTGAACATCTTGAATATCTTTCCCTCTGCTTCTTGCTGGGTTCAGAATCTGGACTAAAACTACTTTACCCCTTAATTCTTCGTGCACTTCCAAGAGTTGTCCCATTGCCAGTAACTTCAAGCTCAAGCCTTTGAACAAATCCATATCATCCACACCCAAAATAACGACCTTCCCATCGTATTGTTTCTTCAATTCTTCAATCCTGTCACCGGTATGAGACATCGACAACAGCGATTGGAGCTGACCCATGTGAATCCCCACCGGCAAGATCTTGATAGTTACTGTTCGACCGTAATAATCTAGCCCAATGTAACCCCTCTTGGACTCATAATCCAACCCCAACATTCTACTGCAACAGGACAAGAAATGTCTCGCGTAATCAAACGTGTGGAAACCGACTAAATCGCAATTTAACAGAGCCCGAAGGATATCATCACGAACTGGAATTGTTCTATAGATTTCAGAAGACGGAAATGGGCTATGAAGGAAAAACCCGAGTTTGACCCTGTGAAACCGTCTTCTCAATAAGGTAGGCAAGATCATGAGATGATAATCGTGAATCCAAACGTAATCCTCCTCCGGGTTTATCACCTCCATTACCTTATCGGCGAAAACCTTGTTGGCGTAAACGTAGGCTTTCCACTGCGCTAGTTCAAAACGGGCACCGTGACTCGGCGACATCGGTAACATGTAGTGAAACAGAGGCCAGAGGTAATGCTTGCAGAATCCATGGTAGAACTTATTCTGAATCTCGAGAGGCAAAAACGTTGGCACGCATCGGAACTTTTCGAGTAATATTTGGGACACTTCGTCTTGTTCCGACGGATCGATGTCGGCTTTCAAAGAACCCACATAGAGAACTTCGACGTCGGAGGGAAACCCGTCTTTGAGCTGCAGATAGAGATTATCACTGTCCAATTCGAAACTCCATTTTCTGGTCTCGCTATCAAGAAACGATTTTATCGGCAACTGATTGGCGACGATGATTCTGCGTTCTTGCGGAACAGAGGAGACGATGCCGTCGGAACCCGCACCGGAATCGGCATCATCGCGGACTTGGAATTCGGGCACCACTCCCGGGAGCGTCATGTCGTTCGGTATCCCGCTCAGAGTCCGGTAATCATCGATGGAGATCAAATTCAACAAGTCTAAGCAAGATCTCGAGAGCATTATCCGAAATGAAAAATGCAACCTTTTTTCTCAAGAAAGGAACTAACTGGGGTCGATGAAGAAAGAGAAAGGATTGGACTTTTCCAGGTCGGAGCCAGGGAGGAAATTATAGGAGCGTGTTGCAGAGAAAGACGAATCTTCGAGCGAGAGAAATCCAATACAATGATAATGCACATTCCATAGCATCGAGCTGCGTCTTTAAAAGAAACTAAATGGTAGTAATTACTGCTAGACAGCGGATAAGAACGAAGAATAGACCGACCGGGGATTTTATATATGAGGTACGTGGTGAACTAAATGGACGGTCCAGATTGATTGAAAGAACGATCTTTTTTTAATATAATAAATCCTCTCCCCGCCTATCCTTCAGGCTTCAGTTGAAGTTGTAATGTGTTTTCTTATTTACCGGTTATAGCCGGTGAATGGAGAGGGCAGGGATTGTAACTTGAAACTGAGAAAATAAAAGGGAATTTCAAAAAATCACGTGATATTTACGCCTGGACGGATTTTTCTTCGTAATGATTCAAGATTTTAACGTGATTCTAATTGGGAAAAAAAATTAAATGCTGACTCCGAAGTTTGAACTTCAAACAAATACTGTTCTTCCCGCAAATTTACTTTCACCTCTCTCTTTTTGATAAATCAATAAATTATTAAGAAAACTCAACCCCACTGCTTATTCAAACATCTACATGACTTTTTTATTTCGGGAGAAAATACAATTTTAAATCTTTATATTTTATAAATATTTTACTTTTAATTCTTATATTTTTTAATATTTTAAATCCCAATACTTTTATTTTTTATTATTATAAATCCCTTCAAAGTCTCTTAAATAAAAAAAATATAAATATAAATATTTAAAATATATAAAAAAATACAAGAATTAATAATAAAAGATAGGATTAAAATTTATATTTTTTTATTTTAATAAAGAGTTTATGATCTATCTATTAATAAAATAAAACAAATAATGATAATAATAATTTAAGTTCCGTGAGTGGGGAAAGAGAGAGACACGTGTGGAATGAGGTAACACAGTAACAGGAATACTCGGTCAGGAGGTGGATAGGTGTTCACACAGATGGCGCAGGTTTCCTACTGAGACCTTTTCTTCTCTCTCTCTAACTTTTCTCCTCGAATATCTCCGCGGGTTTTCTTTTTTCTTTTTCCTTCAATTTTTTTTTTTTTAATGGGGGTTTGTTGCTGCTAACCTGCGATGAATAATATGTGGGCGCGTGATGTTGGCAATTGGTATGCTGTGAGTTCTAGATATGTCCACGTGGAACTCTCCTGGAGGGAACGTGGCGTGCGGGAGTCGTCTCAGCCCCCGTCACTGACCTCTTTGACTGCTGACCTGGCATCGTTGGACCATTCCTTTGTTGCCACCTCATCATCCTCCCTATTTCCACACTCTCCTCTTCATCTCCTTGCACGTTGCTCCTTTGTTGTATGTTCACAAATGGGATCAAACTTATCTAATCCGCGTCACTTTGGGAGACACATCAGTCTCATATCAATAGTTATATTATCAGACACATCACCCATCAGATGATATAAAAAAAAAAAATTGTGTGTCCTTGTTATATTATCAAAAAATTATGTTTAAATTTAGTTCATAACAACCGTAATTTCTTTTTTTTTCCGGAATCACTGATATTAACTCCAATAGTTAGGATAACATGTGACCATAGGTTTAAGAATGTACCGATAACTTATAACCTGGTGACATATAAATTTTTCTTAAATAAAAAGTCATGGATTCAGTTCCACCTAAAAAAATATTTAGGTAGATCGGCTGTATCACATCATTTATAATTTATCCAAGTAAAATAATTTAAGTAATTTAAATAAAATCATGTGTTATATTTTTTTAAATTGATTTTATTCTTATAACAAAATATATGTTTATTTTTATCATTATTAATATCAAAATTAATTTATATTTAATATCATTTAAATATTATATTTTTATTAAATAGATTATAAATAATGTGATGCACCTGATTTATTAAATATTTCTCACCTGCTTATAATCTCATGCAATTAGCATCTACCCTTTTATTTTTTTTGAAAAAAAAAAAAAAAAGAGGTGGGAGAGGTGTACATGCCTTAACCTCTCCGTATAATTTTTAAAAAAGCGAGAATGAATTTTTTATTATTATGAAAACCACCGTGCCTATTATTGTTACAAATCATCACTATTAACCAAAAATGACATCAATATTGGTCAATTTTTAACTGCAGAGTTATTTACAAAATAACATAACTAAACATTTTTTTAAATCATCTCTAAAAACTATGTTACAAAATATCATTAAAAAAATGGAATCACAAACAAACACGTCTTTGAACCTCATCAACTTTAACTAAAAATTTATTAAATTTTTATTTTTTTCATTAAATATACATATTTTGATAGCATAATTTCTCTGTACATTTTAAATTCGTTATCACCATACAAGTTCCAAATTCTCAAGCAGTTAAGAGCCGCTGTTGAGAATAATGCCAACAAACATGATCCCATAAAATCAAGCAACCAGTATAAGAAAATCCTCAAGAACTTGACATGAAGTTGGATTTGTAAAGCAAGACACCAAGTATATTCCTCCTCTCAGCTCTTTATTATTTATTAACACCTTGAATTAATAACTGTATATGTTTGATAATTATTTTTTTTAACGTATTAGCGACGTTCTCAATTCATCGACAAGATATTATATAAATAAACCAAAACATCAACAGCTAACTCGATAGCTTTATTCAAGCAAAAAATTCCATGCCGTCAACAAAACAATTAAAATCCCTCAATTGAAAAAATATAAATTCAGTTCATATATTTTCCTATCCTTATTTTCTATTTAATCCTTCATTGTATATAGAGAAAATTACAATCAATGACCTCCGGGGTACTTTATTTGAAAAAATTGTCAAAAAAATTCTGAAATCACTCAGCAAGACAAAGAGATTAGCATGTAATTAAAATTCAATATGAAAAGAAAAATCTACCCCTCATTTATTTATTTTAATTCTTCTATTGTCATCGGTCGCTAGATGGAAACTAGTCCAATGAAGGTGCCAAATTATTTTTTTTTTTTAAGGTGGCCAGATGGGGTTTGAACCCCCAACCTTTAGGAAATTACTATCTTAGTTATATAATGCAAACCATTATTTATATTATAAACTTTGTTTTCACACACTATTACAAAAATGATAATATTCAACGATTATAAACCATTGAGTAATCAAGCGCTAGATATTCTCTAAATTTTTATTAAATGATTTTAAACTGTTGAATATTCTTACTTTATTTTATTGAATGTATATTTAAGGAAATTTTGTCATAATATCAAGGATGTAATATTTAACAATTTTGTAAAAAAAAATATTAAATATCATTTATATATTCAAAGGTTATGTGTCATAACCGTTGAATGTATATGAGTAATATTCAACAGTTGTTTCCAAAACCATTGAATATTTATTGTTGTGATATTCAACAATATTTTTTCATGACCATTGAATATTTAGGCAAATTTTTTACCATATAGCTCTTACATTTCTAGCAACTCTCTGTATTGAACATTTATAGATACAATATCTGGCATGCCTAAAATAGAATTTTAATAGCCAACAATATTATCTCATACATGAAGTATACATTATACATTACTACACAAGCTATATACAATTTAAACTAGCTACATATCAAGCAATTAAGGGCATTTCTTGACTTAGCAGGCTATTCTCACAAATTTGTGAAGCAAAATGGAGTTGTATGGTCTAAAACAATTGCAAAAGGCCTTCAAAATATTGAAAGAAATTCTAGTTTCGGCTCTAAATACTTGTTAGAGTTTAATAATTGTTTGTCATTTAATAAATGATTATTTATTAAATTATTAATGAAACTTGTTAAAAAATTTTATTATATACTTATCTTTTTAGTAAAATAATATGTATTTATTTTTATAAATGTTTAGTTGTTTTTATTATCAAAAATTTATATAAACTTGTTATTTTACTAAAATTTATTTGTTAGATTATTAAGGAAAATTTCAAAGTTAGTAATAAAAGATGTCATTTTATAAATGATTACTTATTAAATTACTAATAAAAAATTATTTAAAAATTAAATTAATATGCTAGTTTTTATGAATGTTTGCTTGTTTTAATTATCAAGATTTTATATAACTTATTATTTTATTAAAATTTACTTATTAAGTTATTAAAGAAAATTTTCAATCTCAGTAACGAGACTTGTTATTTTATAACTTATTACTTGTTAAATTACTAATTAGAACTTGTCAAAAAAAATTAATTTCTACCAATTTTTATAAATGATTGATGAGATAATTTGATGAGTAAATTTTAATAAAATAATAAGTATCCAAAAATTTTTGAAATAAAAATAATTAAACACTTATAAAAGAAAAAATGATAATAAAATCTCTTGAATTATATAAATGACAATATGGCCCCTCGCAATGCAATAATTCCCCTTAAGTCCATCAATTCTTCTATGCCAATAAATTATAAATTGAACAGACTATTATACCCTTACTGACAAGTAATAATTTCTTATTATATTCTTGTAATTTTTTGAATGAATGTTGTTATTCTTTAAATAAAAGTTTTGGTTAAGGGTTGTTATTTTGAGATCTTATTTTTCAATAATAAAGATTACACTTGACAAGTTGCGATTTCTTGTTCAACTATTTCAATTAACAAAACAAAAGTTACTATTTTTTAAGAAAAAGTTATGATTAAGGTTTGTTATTTTGAAAACTTATTTTTCAATAATAGAAACTACATTTAACAAGTTATAATTTTTTATTTAACTCTTGTAATTCATAGAACAAAAATTATTATTCTTAAATTAAAATTATGATTAAGGCTTATTATTTTCTATAAAGATAAAATGATATTTTTACTTTATAATTTATTGATATGTAAAACTATAACATTTCAAGAGACCAATTCATCATCTATACAATTTGAGGAGATTTTATTGTCGTTTTTCCTTATAAAAATGGGTGGAAATTAAAAATTTTTAACAAGTAATCCTTTATGAAATAACAAGTCTAATTACTAACTCAAATTTTTTTTAATAATTTAATAAATAAATTTTAGTAAAATAACACATTTATATGAGCTTTTGATATGTAAACTTTGGATAATAAAAAACAAAAATTT